CGACGGGTCCCTTAGGTCAGCGTGTGAGAGTGCCAGTCATCTCGTCCTCCCTGGAGGGGGCGCAGGCTTCCTCCCAGGCTCCGGCCCAGGGCTGGCTTCTGTTCCTGAGGGTCCCGGGCAGGGTGGGCTGCAGAGCAAGCTGCCCCACAAAGAGCCTCTGGCCCCTGGGCTTCCTCTCACTTGGAGCCTCCTGAACTTTTGTCAGCTGCTTCCTGAGCCAGGGAAGGAGGCACCGGGCAGCTTGGGTGTCAGGGGAGGACCGACCCGAGGACTCTGCAGGCTTGGAAGTGGCTCCGTAGCTGTTTGCCCTGCCGCCTCCCTGGCCGCTTAGCAGGGCCCCTTTCTCTCCGAGCCTTTGCTGCCCGCTGATGGGGTGAGAATGAGCAGGAGAGGGCGCTCGCCCAGTGCCCTGCGGTCCTGCTCGCCCAGGGTGTGCGTCAGTGTCACTTAGTGAAACGAAGCGCCTATCACTTCACATCCCTAGCTGAGCAGGGCTGGCGCCCAGTGGGCATTGAACAAGCGCCAGCTGCAGGGAACCTTGCTCACTTAACTTGAAGCAAACGTCTTCCTGCCTGCGTCGTACCTGGCTGATACTATTGCATTGAACTGTGAGAATTTACTCCGCATTTTGCTTTATACATTTCATTTCTTTTCTGTTTGCTGTTCTTTGGATAGGGAACACAGTCTCCACAAGGGCCCCAGACGTCTGACCCAGCCTTGCTGTTTCAGAGGTGGAGACGCGGCCCAGAGCAGCCGCCTGGCCTGGGGAGAGGGGCTGGCCACAGCCTAGTCCCACCCCGCCCCCCTGAGGTCTAACTGCTGCCTGCTGAGCTTACAGAGCCCCGTCCCTGTCCTGGCCTACAAAGCTCTCTTGAACTGAGCTCTGCAGCTCTCTCTTTTTGGACAGAGACGGGCTCGGTGGGGCTCCACTGGCATGTGCCATTGCCACTGTGGTGGCCGGAGCCAGCCATGCCGTCTTTTTGACTCAGGGTATTTAAAAATCCCGTGGGCGGGGAGCGTGGAGGGATCCACTGTGGGTGCATGATCATCGAGCTCCTAGGAGGCAGGAGGGGCCTCTTGGTAGCCAGCTGCCCTCAGCAAATGCTGACCCAGCGCCCGCGGAAGCCTGTCCTGGGG